CAGACAGCACCACCTCTGCAGAGGGGCACCGACGCTCTCAGATCGCTTCACCCGAAGCTCCCGTTCGACCTCAGATCAGCCATCCTGATGCCAACATCCAGCACTCCAGCCCACCCCAACGCCCACCCACGCAGTCCCAGAACACTGTCCACACTGCTGATTTCGAGGTGGGAGTGAAACTAAGAGAGGCGCGAAATACATCACGCGGCGCTGCTGCAGCAGCGTCGCGACGAGGTTGACGATGCCGACACCGCTGTCAACTGCAAAGATTTACGCTCACGGCTCTGCTGCAGCAGCGTCGCGATGGCTCGAGACTGCTGAGGACAAGGCTGATGGGAGCTGGTGAGGCTGCCAGGAGGCCATGGGGGGAGCTACTCAGCGGCGCAACGAACTGTGCTGAAGGGGAGCAGGGAGAGTGGCGAAGGGCGATGCGATGCGAGACTGTTTGCCATCTGAAGTGCCCCAGGACCCCCCCCCAAGTGCCCCCGAACTTTCCTGGCCAATCCAAGGCCGACCCCTGGCACATCAGTCCATGCAAAAAAAATGTCAGCGGACCAGGATGTGAACGTCGACGATGGCAGATAGATGCGATGAGGATATCGGAGCGCCTTTCTGGGCGACAGCGCGGGCGCACCACGCGATCTGGCGCACGAAATATAACCTGGCCTAAAACACATGCATGCGTCGGCAGGCTATGCTCGCGAACTGATCCAATCCACCCCCCCCACTGCTCCCATTGATCTTACATGTTGGGTTGCTACAGCATGTATCCTATCACTATGCGTTCGTTGTCCCCCTCGCTCACGGGAGAGTGGATACCCGCTGCAGCGGGCATCCTGTCTACCGTCTCTCTCCAATGTGTCTTCACTCCACCCCCACGCTGCGTCTCCATCGTCCCCCTCGCATTCCCTATGTATATCACGTCTCCCCCCTGTCTACCTCTACTATAGTCCCCCATCTCCCCCTGTCTACCTCTACTGAGTTACCGTCCCATTCCGTCGCCCATGTAGTGGAATGCTCCGCGGCGGCCCCCCATGCCCCGCGGTGGCGCGCCGCGGCTCTCATGTGGGCGCTGCAGCGCCGAGGGCGTCTCCGGCTCCGCGGCCTCCGCCTCCGCCGCCGAGCGCCTCCGCCTCCGCGGCCTCATCCGCGGCCTCCTCCCTCCTCATGAGGCGCCCCTCGGCGCCTGCGCCTCCTCGGCGGCCTCCTCGCCGACGCCGCCGCCCTGGCCGACCCAGACCTCTGCTGGGCCAGCGTAGTGCTCCTCGGCCAGGGCGGCGGCGTCGGCGTACTCGCCCGCCAGCAGCAGCTCGCAGAGCTGCTGCGCCCTGTTGAACCAGCCGCCCCGCCGCCCTTGCCGTTGCCCTTGCCCTTGGACAAGTTTGCCGCCCTTGCTCTTGTCCTTGCCCTTGCCCTTGCAAGGTGGGCCGCCGCCGTCCTGGTCCTTGTCCTTGCCCTTGCCCTTGCAAGGTGGGCCGCCGACGTCCTTGTCCTTGTCCTTGCCCTTGCCCTTTCTGCAAGGTGGGCCGCCGACGTCCTTGTCCTTGTCCTTGCCCTTGCCCAAGGCGCAAGGTGGGCCGCCGACGTTGTCCTTGTCCTTGTCCTTGCCCTTGCCCACGGCGCGGCCGACGCTGCCATGCGGGGCGGCGCGCGACGGCCGCGGCCGCGCCTTGGCCGCGGCCGCGGCCGCGAGCAGCGCGCCTGGCGGCGGCGCCGCAGGCGGCGTCGGCCGCATGCGGCCGACGCCGCCGTCGTCGCTGTCGAACTCCTCGAAGTCCTCGTCGTAGCTGTCGAACCCATCGAGCGACGCCATCGCTGCAGCGAGGCTGCAGCTCGCCAAGCTGCATGATGGGCTTGGTTTCCACCACCAGTACCATAAGTTGGAGGGAGAGGTCCTCCTCCTCCTCTTCTTTCTCCTCCTCCTCCTTCTCCAACATATGGTATAGTGATAGTGGAAACCAGCCCCATCACTGCAGCTGAAGCTGCACTCGGGCGCGCGGGCGCGCGACGCTGCAGCGCGCGAAGCTGCAGCTGCAGCTGCGCGGAACAAAAACAGCGGCGGTGCCAACGACGAATACGATGGCGACGACGCTGACGACGATGGACCCCTGCTAACCAGTCGACTGACCCCCCAAAGTAACATCACCCCGCAAAGTAACATCACCCCCAACTGAACCTCCGAAGGCCGACGACTGGATTGACCTCCCCAGGGCTGCCCCCTCAGGATAGGAGGAGGAGGGGGAGGAGGATGAGGGGGAGGAGGAGGATTGGAGGGAGAGGAGGAGGGGGGGGAGGAGGGGGGGCAGGAGAAGGAGGAGGAGGAGGAGGACACTGATGAGGAGGAGAAGAAGGAGAGGGAGGAGGAGGAGAAGGAGGAGGAGAAGGAGGAGTAGGAGAATGAGAGGGAGGATGAGGCGGAGGAGGAGGAGGAGGAGGGGGAGGAGAGGGAGTATGCGGAGGCAGGAATAGGCAGAAGGATCGGGGGGGCGGGGCATGGGTGCCAACTGGTTGTCTTCCTCCTCCTCCTCCTCGTCATGCTCCTCGTCCTCGGCCTCCTTCTCCCCCCCCTCCTCCTCCTCATCATCATCATCCTGATCCCCCTTCCCCTGCTCCGAGGTGCTGGCAGCGAGCGGTGGGAACCTGTGGACATGAGGGCGTTCCAGAACGTCGTCCTCGATGTCGTCGTCCTCCTGATCACCCTCCCCCTCCTCATCATCATCCTCCCTCCACCTTCTTCTCCTGCATGCACTGCTCTGAATTACGTCGTCTTTAACGCCGTCGTCGTTGTCTCTGTCGCCGTCGCCGCCGTCGCGATGCTGTATCCGACTGAAACAGTGGTGCTGCAGCACTGACCGCGCGCGCGCCGCGCGCCCGTCACTTCCGCGGCTTCTTCGCGACGTGGTATTGGACTGCCAGCGCAAACGCTGCCTCGCGGTCCCCGCGCTGAAGCGCTTCCCGAATCATGTCGCACACAAGCTTCCACATGCCAACCTTGGTATCAGCATCGCGCTTGCGCGCGGCTGCAGCCGCACGCGGGGCTGGCACACAACTGGCGGCTGCAGCCGCGGTCCTCGTCGACGTCGGAGGCGGTGGTGGCGGCGGCGGCGGCGGAGGAGGGGGAGTAGCCGCATATGTCGCATCCGATGCAGCGGACTTCGCCTTCGGCGGCGGCACTGGCTCCGAGGGAAGCCGCCATGGCGGCGTCGCTGCACACATGTTGGCAGCCATTGATGTTCTGATCACAGGTGGCTGCGAACCACATGCAATAACATAAAGCGAACATGCGGGCTGCAAGCGCGATCGAAGCGCTACATCAACACGCCAGACACACAAACTGTAAGTCAGCGCTGCAGCGCGACGCAAAAATCTGATATCGGCACGCCAGACACCCGAACGTAAATCAGCGCTGCAGCACGATGGACTCCAAACACACGAAACGTAAGTCAACGCTGCAGCGCCGTGAGGTCACACATCGACGGCGGCAACGCGTGAGAGGCACACTTGATCGTAGTGTCGTCGTGCTGCAGCACGCTGGATCATACCAACGATTCGCAATGACACCAACAGTAGCGAACATTGGGGGGATCCACCAACAATCCGCAATTATTATCCCAATCCCCCTCTTCCTTCTCCTCCTCGCCCTCGTCCTCGTGCTCGTCCTCCTCGCTGCCATTCTCAATCGCACTGCCGACCGTGATCGCACGCCCCAGCGATGCGGTCGACCGAGCGCGCCGCAGCTCAGTCCGAGTCGGCCTCCTCCTCCTCCGCATCGCCCTCCGCCTTCGCTTCCATCTCCTGGAGCTCATCCGCTTCGCAATCCTTGAGTTCGGCGGTACACCACTTCGCCGCGGCCGCTTCAGCGTCATCCTTGCTGCAGCCGCGGTTTGTGCGGAACAAGGCCGTCCTGCTGCAACCGCAGTCTGCGCGGACGGCCCGCCAAGCTTGGAGCCGCTGCACCCAATAGATGCGGGTGCCGCAAGGAACGTCGGTCTCGTGGCGCCGCGGGCGCTTGAGCACCGTGCTCGCCTCTGCCGCCCCCGCCGCCTCCTGAAGCAATTTGGCCTTGATGTACTCTACGCCCTTCTCGTGCAGCACCACCTGCAGCTTGTCCCTCCCCCCCCTATGAGGGGGGGGAATGACAATCTGCAGCTCTGTTGCCTCAGTATCGCCAAACGGCGGCAGCTGCACTGTCTTGAAGCACTTGTCCACTGGAACCTGGCGACTGGCGCGGCCGGACCGCGTGGTCGGGCGGCGGCCTGGCTCCGCTGCAGCGAAGAGCGTCGTCGGCGCCGTTGGCCCCGACGACGCGGTGCGCTGATTTTTCAGCCACGTTAGGAACATCGTGCCTCGCAGGCCCTGAGCCTTGCCGCACACCCACTTGCTCCAACCTGCGGTGGTCACGGTGATACACTCGCGGTCTCCGATGACCTCGACGGCCGCGACCAGCTCGCGCCCCGTACGGTTGTCGTGCAACACGACGCAGTCGCGCTTGATCGTCGTCATCGCGCGCGCGGCGCGCCGAGGCTGCAGCCCGAGCGCGGTCGCACTTCAGCGCCAAAACTGCTGCGATGGAGTGATGAGGCAACATGTGCGCGGACGAGGTGCTCACGATGAGGTGCGCTGCAGCGCATGTGAAAGATGAAGCGAAGAGCAACGATCACATCGAGCACAACAGTGATGACGAAGCCGCTGCAGCGGCATGTCTGTGGGAAAGGCCGATGTCAGCACCAATATTGTACAGTCGCTGCAGCGACGATGCTGGCGCAACGAATCGTTCCGCGCGCTGCAGCGCCGCGGCAAGTATCGCACTTCGCACCAACCCGCACACTGTTTACACCAATCGGAGGGCCACGCTCGGTGCCGTCATGTGCGCTCGCCGCTCCTTAAGCCCCCTCCTCCTCCTCCCTATGCCAAACCTTACCCTGCCTCCTCCTCCTCCTCCTCCGCATCACCCCTCCCTCCTGCCTCATCCTCCCGCGTGGTCCCTCTATATCGCCAGCTCAGGCCGGCCTGAGCTTCTTGGCTGGCCGCGGCTGCAGCCGCGGCCACGGCTTCACCACCAGGAAGTCGCCCGCGGACAGGGCGCAAGTGTTATGCATCTGGGGCACCCCCACCTGCACCTTGTTGACGCCTGTCCCGACCGTCACGGTCTCCTTTCGGAGCTCCATGTTGGGCTCTGAGTCGGACTTTGCCACCACCCAGAAGGGGCTGACAAAGGCGTCGGGGCCCCGCGACCCCTCAGCGGGGGCCCTGCGAACTGCGGGCCCACGAAGAACTCGTAGAGGCCAACCTTCCCCAACGAGATGCTCTCCGCAACGCAGCCCGTGCTGACCCGCGTGGACGAGGCTGAAATGAGACCACTCCCACCGCGTGGAGCTACATGGCGCGCAGTCGGTAACATCACTGACCTCGTCGCTACGGCCTGACGTGCCCCGAAATCCTCGCTACCTCGTGCTCAGCGCAGCGCTGCAGCGCGGCGACGTCGGAGGGGGGCGCGGACGATTGCGGAAGCACAAGTCTGACGAGCTCACCCACTTTGAACGCTCGCTTGCAGCGCACGGCAGGTGGGTCCTGCAGGATCTCCAAGTGCCAAATGTTCGCCTGGTACTTCAGCGCTTGGAGCCGCAGCGCCATGTTGCATGCCCCCTTGAACGCGTCCATCGCCCAACCCTCGTGGGCT